TCAAAATATGAAAACCCACAATCATTTGTACTGCAGATTATCACCTAGTAAATATCACGTATTAGAAACACTGTTTTGGCTTGAGGAGTAAAGTTGCAGGAGCATTTTTACAGTAATCATTATAGCTAATTTTACCTAAACTGTTAAGAGTGGTTAGTAGTGGCATTTATTACATGGGTACTAGATTCTGAACACTGCGCTGGGGATACAGATGCAAGTAAGCGAGAGGGTCCTTGCCCTCAAGGAGTTTCCATTCTAATGGGGACACGACAACACAGAAAGGAGAGCTGGAAAAAGGCAGGGAGTATGAGAGGGGACGGCTTAGAGCTGGGGGCCAGGAAATGAGGCGGGGGAAGCAAAAGATCACCTGTCAGGGCCCAGGATGTTTCCAGAGATGGAGTAATAAGAATATATCATATCTGTACAGGGTTTTAAGGTTTGTAAAGAACTTTTCATACATCATCTAATGTGATCTTCACAACAACCCTGTGTGGTATGGACTGTTATCTCCCATTTTACAGATGAGGAAAATGAGGCTGAGAGAGTGTGACTTGTCTAGGATTACCCAGATAATAAGCTCTGTGGGAAGGATTCAAACTGATGTCTTCCTGATTTCAAGTTGAGTACTACATCAAGGACCAAGCTACCTCTACCTTAGGTTTGGTTTTTTTTTTTAATTTCCAACCTAAAGAAACTTGACAGAAAACCAAAGCACAAAATCCCAATAGAATAGCTCAGAGGAACCTGCTCTGGCACATTTTTATTCTTGCTAGGGTTTCCTCTGGGATTCTTTTTTTTTTTTTTGTGAGGCAATTGGGGTTAAGTGACTTGCCCAGAGTTAACACAGTTAGTGTTATGTGTCTGAGGCTGGATTTGAACTCAGGTCCTCCTGAATCCAGGGCAAGTGCTCTATCCACTGTGCCACCTAGCTGCCCCTGGGATTTCCTTTGAACTCATGTCTTGCCTTCCCACAGCAAAATGAAAATGTAGGAAGTAGTGTGGATGGTAGAAGAGAGAAGAAATAAGCGTTTATTAAGCACCTAATATGTGCCAGGTCATGTGCTAAGCGATCTAATTTTAGATTTTATCTAATTTTAAATCCTGATTTGATCCTTTTAATAGCCCTATGAGGAAGGTACTAGTATTATCTCTATTTTACAGATGAGGAAATTGAGGCAAACCAAGGTTAAGTGACTTGCCCAAGGTTACCCAGCTAGAAAATGTCAGAGGCTAGATTTGAACTCAGGTCTCCCTGACCCCAGGTCTACTGTACCTCAACTTAAAAGCTCCTTGATAATATAGTTTTACACCTGCTATTGTTGCTTGGTCGTTTTTGGTTTTTTTTTGGTAGCGTCCAATTCTTTGTGACCCCTTTTGGGGTTTTCTTGGCAAAGATACTGGAGTGGTTTGCCATTTCCTTCTCCAGCCCATTTTAAAGATGAGGAAACTGAAGCAAACAGGGTTAAGTGACTTGCCCAGGGTCACATAACTAGTAAGCAACTGAGGCCGGGTTTGAGCTCAGGAAGACAAGTCTTCCAACTCTAGGCCCAATACTCTATCCACTTTACCACCTATAACCAGGAGGAATGGTGCTCTTGATCACACCAATTTTTTTTTAATTTGAGATTTTATTTTTTCCCCAGTTACAAGTAAAAAACAATTTTTAGATCACACCAATTTTAAAATCTAGGCTCTCTCATGGCTTCAACTAATTTCCAGCAATCTGACTACAACTAAAAAGAAAATCAAAAAACAAAGTCTTTTCCTTGAAAAGGGGGTTCTCTTTTTATTCAAACAGTTAAAATAACATTGTCATTGTTCAAAATAATGCCATTAATAAAAACTGCCAGTCTGACACCTGCAATGCTGGACTGCCGGCCATGACATGTACACGAGGAAAGCCATGCTTCCTTTTATAAAGTGACCAAGTTTGCTGACATTGAGGTATCTAACATTGGCAACTCTTAACAAAAATTTTAATAACAAGTAGGAATACACTTTTTGGATGGGTGAACATATTCTTTCCCTGAAATACTATTTAAATAGGAAGACAAGAATTGTATTCAACTAGACTAGACATATTTGGAACCTATGCAAACTATCATGAGATACGTACGTGCATTTCCTTTTAGCCTTACAGAAGCTGGTGGACGAGTCAGGGGTCTTAAGGATCATTTAATTTCTACAAATTAAAGTAAATGCCTCAAGCTTTATTTATCAAATAGAAACTGCTCATCTTGTGACTAAAGACAGCTCTGGTCACTTTAGTAACCAAAAGTCCAATTTGTTTTCTTCAAAAAATAGTTCACATTTGTATAAATCTTTAAGGTCAGCAAGCCTTTTACACACATTATCTCACCTAATCCTCACAACAACCCTGTAAGATAGATGCAATCATCCCCATTTTCCAGGTAAGGAAACTGAGGTTCAGAAAGGTTAAGTGATTTGCTTGGTGTCACACTCAGCTGGTTTTTAAAGCAGGATTTGAATGCTAATTTTCTTATAGATTACATTGCATGCTTCTAACATTATTTATTTATTTATAGATAGCACGTCCCCCCCACACTTTCTGCCATTGCTTTGGCATCAATCATATTTCCTACCCCTAAAAATGCCCCCCACTTTTATTTACAATAAAGAGCTTGTGCACAGCACAAATCAGTGCATATAGTGTAGAATTTACAATTCATCATCACTGCTCTGAAAACTCGCCAGTAGCTTATCTTTATTTTAACATGGCATATGTTAAAAATCAAACTTATGCAGAACATAGATCTGTATAAATTGCTTTATAATTCTTAATTAAACAGCTGTATAAAATGGGGAGAACCAAAGAATGTTTAAAAAAAATACAAATACAAAAATAAACACCATTAACAGATTTGCAGCTGAAATGCTATCAAAATAGATTTGAAGAGAGGTCACAGTTCAAATTGTCCAACACTAACTATAACTTCAGTTAGCCCTTGGTTCTACAAAGCTGCTGCTGAAATGTACAAATGATTTTTTTTTTTTAATTTCATCAGTGCAGAGAACGCCTGGTATGCAATTTCCTTCTTCAGAAGTAGATCCAGAATCCAAGCACTGCCTCGAACACCAAGAGGCTGTGACCTGCCCCATGGTCCCCCAGCTGGTATGTGTCAAGAGGAGGTCTTTTCTGCTTCCAAAGCAAGGCCCTCCATCCACAACGCCACACTGCCTCTCACAATTAACACTGCTCAACATGAAGAATCTCTATCAAATTGCTTGGTGTCTTAAGGAAGGGCGAGGGGAGGGAGAGAATTTGGAACTCAAAAATAAAATTTAAAAAAATGAATATTAAAAATTGTTTTTACATGTAATTAGAAAAAAATAAAATCAAAACAAACAAATAACAGTGCTTAGGAAAATAATTCTTTTTTTTTTTTTTGCCTTTTTTTGATGAGCAATCGGGGTTAAGTGACTTGCCCAGGGTCACACAGCTTGTAAGTGTCAAGTGTCTGAGGCCAGATTTGAACTCAGGTCCTCCTGACTCAAAGGTCAGAGCTCTGAGACACCTAGCTGCCCCCAGAAAATAATTCTTAGAGAAGAAAACAACTATCCGGTTCTCTTTATCACAAGAGACAGTTATTATCATTAGTTTACCTTATACAAGGTGCCCTAAAAGTCTTAGTGCTGTTTTAAGCTTTAATAACTTAAAACTTTCTATATAAGCTCCAACTTCAAGCAGTATAGATAATTAGCTATCCTAAGTACATGGCACAATATTTTCTCCCTTATTATGTAACAACTGTTCTTTCTACTGGTCACTTTTTCTTCCAGAAGACACAATTCTGTGTTTATGCTTTTTTAAAAAAGAATCCATCACAAATTGTCACAGAAAAGAATTACAGGGGCAGCCAGGTGGCGCAGTGAATAGAGCTCTGGTCTTGGAGTCAGGAGGACCTGAGTTCAAATGTAGCCTCAGATACTTAACACTTACTAGCTGTGTGACTCTGGGCAAGTCATTTAACCCCAGTCGCCTCACTAAAAAAAGCCAAAAAAAAAAACCCCCAAAAAACCCAAAAGAATTACAACACAAATTATTCTCCAGGTCAAATTACTCTCTTTCCAATGTTTCTTCCTCGTTTCTCCCTAGATATTCCTGAGATTTTGAACAGTTTCTGCCTCAACTAGCTACTTTGTTTTCTTCCTGTCACCTTGGTTAGGCTGGGCATAGTTTATACTGATCTTTGATGCCAAAGGGAGAGAGGGGCATTCTTAGAGGTTAGGCAATCCCTATCTGTCTCTTCAAAAGCTACAGTTCTGAGATGCTTAGAATTTAGCTTGCCAAGGAGGATGGGAAAATACTACAAACTCTGCCTGACAGCATTATAGTCATCATCATTATTATAGTTATTTCCATTATTCACTTGGCCCATTTCCATGTAGAGCCCGAGTGGCATTTTAATGTGAGTCTAAAAAGTATGCTTGTTTCACCAGACCAAGTATACAATTACAAAGGTCCAGAGGAAGACTCAATATAAGAAAGGTTCAATTTCTTAACAACTTAGCTCCCTCTACCTTAATTTTTTCCAAAAAAAAAACTAATTTGGAACTGAAGTTTGTTTTAGCCATCTTATCGATTTCACTCTCAATTTGATTTCTCCAAACGAAACAATCCTGAAGTTAAACCAAATCCAGTTGAATTTCAAATCCTAAGATTTTGCCCAGAGTGATAATATATATGCCACTCGATGAGAAATTACCAGTGATAATACTTATGCTATATTAAATGAAAACTTACATTCTGGAAAACAGTTCTGTGCCATCAATGTTTCTTAGTGCATGAATACAAAAAAAAAAAAATAATTGCCATATGGTACTGGCAAAAATTCCTTTAGTATTACTCTAACAACTTTAATTTTGATGTACTTATTTGGATGAAGCCATCCTCTTTTATGGTCAAAAAGATGACTTCTAAAATTCAATGTGAGTCACCTTTGTTTTGAGAAAACAATCATTTAAAAATTCAAAATCAGTTTTAACACATAAAAATAAGCTTTATTTTTGTATCCTGGTAGTAGAATTTATTGTGGTAGCTTTTGAAATTAATTTTTTGCTTATTATAAAAAAAGATCAGTGCACATTTGGTAACACTTTTCAACTGCCTGAGGCAATTATATTTTCTCTCTGAAAACTCCCTTAAGGACGCTGTACCAATTTGCTCCTGGTGCCTTCCTGCTCACCAAGTTTAAAATGAGTATAGGCTAGAATGCCAAATAATGTGCATAAAATGCCAAGTCCCTGATTAACTGACAGTGGATCCTTAAATAAGACATATCCTCCAAATAAGGTAATACAGAATTTGAAGTGTCCAAACATGTTATACCTGTAGTTTTGGTTAAGGATGACATGAAAATTTCTGACACATTTAAATAAATCCATTTACAAAAAAAAAAAGTACTCAAATTGATATTATACCAATTACTGAAATTTACACAGCCCATCATTTTCAATGTTTATGGAGCATGGGGACTCCTGAGTAAAATCGTTACCAATCTCCATTAGGTTAAAGGTGAATTCTCCTTGGTGATTTAACAAGTCATTTATCCAACCAATAAGCATTATTAATTAAACACCCATCAGCCAGGCATTGGAGGTACAAAGACAAAAGCAGTGCCTTCCAGGCGTCTTTCTACCCTGGGCAAACATCACATCCCCAGAGAAGTAACTACAAAGTTTGTAAATTGGAGACAATTTTTTTTGGGGGGGGGGGGCGATAGGAGACAAAAGAGGGTGTTTACTAGCAAGTGAAGAAATCAGGGCAGCCTTTTTCTCAAAGGTGGTGTTTGATCTGAGCTTTGAAGGAAATTAAGAGATTCTAAGAAGTGGAAGTGAAGGAATGGAGATTCAAGGGTAGAATGTCCTGAATGGGGAATAGCAAGTAAAGTAGGTTGGCTAAAACAGGGGTTCCTAACTAGGGTCTGTGGACATACTTTAGGGGGTCTATGAACTTGGACAGGGAAAAAATTTACATATTTATTTCAATATAATTAGTTTCCTTTGAAACCCTATATATCTAAAAACATTATAAGAAAGGGTCCATAAGTTTAACCATACTGCCAAAAGAGTCCCATGACATAAAAAGTTTAAGAATTTCTGGGCTATCAAAGAAATAGGAAAAGGACCCACACATACAAGAATATTTATAGCAGTTCTTTTTGTGGTGCCAAGGAACCAGAATCTAAGAGGGTGCTCATCAATTGGGGTATGGCTATTATGGTATCTGAATGTAATGGAATACTATTGTACTGTAAGAAATCAAGAAGGTGATAGTTTCAGGGAATTCTGGAAAGACTTGTGCCAACTGATGCAGAGTGAAGTGAGTAGAATCAGGAGAACAATTTATTCAATAACATCATAAAGACAAATGACTTTGAAAGAATTAAAAATTCTAATCAATGCAATGAGGAACCATGATTCCAGAAGACCCATGAAGACATGCTATCCACCTCTTGACCTAGAGATGATGATACAGGATGCAGACTGAGACATTTTTCTGGACACGGCTAATCCGGGAATTAGTCTTGCTTGACTATACATATTGGTTATAAGGATTTCCCCCACCTACCCACGCAGTGTGTGAGGAGATGGGAAGGACAGAATATAAAGTTCTGTTATTTGAAGAAAGATAAAATTTTTAAAAAAACCCCACCACCTTTGGGATAGGACAAGGAGTGTGTGAAGGAGAGTAATGTGTGCTAAGCCTTGGAAAGTAGGCCGGGACCAGATTCTGACGGGCTTCAACAGCCAAACAGAGGAGTTTGGAGTATTTTATCCTTATGGCAAGAGGAAACTAATGGAGTTTCTGGAGCAAAGAAGTGATATGGTTAGACTTATGCTTCAGGAATATGAATTTGGCAATGGTGTGGAGGACGGATTGGAGAGGAAAGGGACGCTGGAGGAGTAGGACACCACTGTACCAGGCCACGGAAGAGGTAATGAGGGCTTTGAACGAGGGCAGCGGCCATGGGAGGAGAGAGAAGGGCATGAGTGTGAGTGATATTTCGGAAACAGAATCAATTGACAACTGACTGGATGTGAAGGATAAGTACGAGTGCGGAGTTGAGGATGACTCTTAAGTGACCAACTTGGATAACTGGAAAAATAATGCTGCCCTTGACAGAAGAGGGGCAGATATGGGGGGAAAGATGAGTTCTGTCTTGGATATGTTGAACTTGCTTCCTCCTAAAGTGGATGTAAGCCATACAGACATATTTACTGCTCCCTTTCTCTGCCAGATGCTAACAAGAACAGTGTAGAATCTGCCAGGACCAGAAAAACCGTAATTCACATTTCTGAGCTGTAACCAAGAGCTCACCAATGGAGCTTTGGTGGACTATGGTGCTCTGCCTATTTTTTCCATGTAGGTTCAAGCAATTAAGCAGCAGCACTGGACTTATTCAGACTCTCATTACTGCCCACCAACAGATAAGCTAGCGATTAAATGCTGTAAAGCTCATTAACTGATTACTCTTCTTAATTTTAAAACTAGGCCATAGAATGGAAAGAACACTGTGCTTGGAGTCAGGAAGACTTGAATCTGAATTCTACCTCAGACATTTAGTAGCTGTGTGACCCTGGGCAAGTCACTAAACCTCTCAGTCTATTTCTTTAACTGTAAATGGAAATAATAGCACCTACTTCTCAGGGTTGTGAGAATCAAATGACATAATACATGCAGAGAACATTGAAAACTTTAAACGGCAATATAAATGTTAGCTGTTGTTATTATTATTAACTCTTCAACAAACATTTATAAAACAGCTTCCTCTGTGCAAAGGACTAAGCTAAATGCTGGGACATAAAAGGCAAGATACTGTCCCAACCTTACTTTAACACTTCAGGATTCATTCTTATTTAATTTGTATGAGAATATATGTGTATGTATTTGCTATTTTTTTTTCTTCTGTTATGTTTTGTTTCCTCTTTCTGGTGGTTCCTCCTATTGGTTCTAAATCTTACTTACAACATCACTAATGTGAAAATATGTTTAATAGGAATGTATATGTATAGCCTATATCAGATTGCTCTCCATCTTGAGGAGGGAGGTGGGGAGGGAGGGGGAGAAAAATTTAAAACTCAAAAGCTTATAGAAGTGATTGTTGATAAATCAAAATGAATTAATTTTTTTAAAAAAGAATATATGTGTGTGAGTTTATATGTATATGTATGTGTGTGTTTATGGATATCTATGTATATGTATATATGTCTACACTTAATTGTAGCCTTCCTTTGGGGTGGGGAGGCAAAGGAAAAAAGTAAAGTAAAAAGTTCACAGCAGAGAACAAAAGAAAACCAACAAGAAAACAAAACTAGGCAACTTTGAAAACAATGTGTAGTGTTTATTATATAGATTTTCTTAAAATGGAAATTTATTGTTTTGTATTGAATCTGCTCTTATGCTCTGCTGTGTACATGGCTATATTTTTTTTCTTATCTTGTTTTGTATTTAAGTGTAAAATAAAAATATTACAAAAAAAGGAAAAAAGATAAAACAAATAACTTGGATTACAAGAAACTGAAAAGCTTCTGCATAAACAAAATAAGTGAATCTAAGATAAGAAAAAAAAATTCACATGAGAAAAAACTTTTGACAACAAATCATCAGACTCCTTCCCTAACCCAGAGAATGGTCAGTAACTTGGCTTAAGTTTACACTGTGAATCACTGTGAGACATTAGGCTGTCTCTTCTAGAATGGTGTGAGGTGCAGTGAGGAGATGAGCAAATAGCAAGATGGAGAAACTGGGTGGCCTCCTAGATATTTCCCCAACATCCCATGACTTCATTATTTGGTTTGAAGTGAAAACAGTCACACTCATATAAAAACACAAGCACAAGAACTCATTCCAAAGTGAAAAAGAAATGGTTTACAGTCTAAAGAAGGGGTGGCTATTTGCTTGGATCAACCACACCTCACTCTTCTGTTGTGGAGAATTAGGTATATTTAAATCTGTTATTACACTTCCTATTGAAAGAAATAGTGGACTATTATTTAGGGTGACTGAACTAGTTTGAAAAATATAAAATATGAAACACCTAGCATTTTTTGGAAAAATATGAAATATGAAACACCTAGCATTTTTTTGTTCTCATTCACAATATAATTGACACTTACTGTAATATAATCGACACAATATAATTGACACTTATTTCTGGGAAGACTTTTTTTTAAATACCTGAATGCATAATGACTCTTTTCAAATGAAAACACAAAAATATCCATAGACCTGTAGTTGGAAACTTCTATGAAGCAGCTATGTCATGGAGTAGATAAAGAGCTACTTTAGAACTCAGAAAGACCAGAGTTCAAATTCTACCTCAGATCCTTACTATGTGTGTGACTCTGGGCAAGTCACTTAATTTCTATCTGCCTCAGTTTCTTCATCTGTAAAATGGCCTCAACCTCATAAGGTTGTTGTGAGGATCAAATGCCTTCCTTAAAGGGCTATAACAGATGCTGGTTATTATGATAATAATAATTACTTTATTATGCATTTATATTTCTTATTACAATAATATTTATCATTATTATTATTATTATTATTATTATTATTATTATTATTACTATGAATCAGAAATTCCATCAACACCAACAACTTGCTATATGACCTTATAACACTTAACCTCTCAATGGCTTGGTTTCCCCATCTGTAAAGAGAGGGCAATACTCCTATTCTTCCTAGTTTACAGGATTATAATGAGCAAATAAGATAATAAATATGAAACATTCTTTAAAAAATCCTAACATGTCATACCGATTTTAAAAATTGTTATTAGCATTACTGAAAAGGATACGTGACTGGTGAAGTATTTCCAATGATCCAGTATATTGATAAATTTACCATAAAGGCTATTATACCAGATAGCAGCACCATAAGCTAGGAAAACAAAGAGAACCCCATTAATATAGTACAGTCATAATGCTATTGCAAACACGTTTGACCCATCTTTTTGATTACTTTCAAATATAACCCCAAGACAAAAAAGAAATTGAGTTCAGTTGGGACACAGTTAAGTGATCACTAAGGGATAAAAAGGAAGAATGAACAATGTCTATTATAATATACTCCAATCCTCTGCAAGATCTGTGATTTCTCTCATGGGTTCTCCCTCCAACAGCCAAGATCACACCCCCAATACACCTTAGGAAACATTTTAAAAAGGCGCTGCGGCCAACCTTCTGGTGATGATCCCCACAATCCCACCCCCTTGCCTGCCCTTGACTTAGCTGGGCAATCTTTGGACAATAAATAGCCTATTTACTAAGCCTATGGTCAAAGCCCCAACAGGGCTGGAATGAAAATATTAGCTATGGTTTAAACCACTGAGAAATTAAGTTCCAAGGGACGCAGTCCCACATACAGATCATTTCTATTTCACATAGATTTATTCAGTTAATCTAATCGTCACCTTCAAAGCCACATTGGGATGATGAGAAAACGCAGGGTAAGTATGGGGAGTCCACAAAAGCTACCCCTGATCTTGAGAATCAAAATCCAAAATGGATCCTCTCTGGCAGAAGCCTCAAGCCCCCAGCGTGATTCATTAGACTTGACTTAGGACAAAATACACCACAACAACTGCTCTGACATTAAAACAAAAATAGATCTAGGTAGCTAGGTGGCACAGTGGATACAGTACTGGCCCTGAAGTCAGGAGGACCTGAGTTCAAATCCAGCCTCAGACACATAACACTTATTAGCTGTGTGACTCTGGGCAAGTCACTTAATCCCAACTGCTTCGCCAAAGGAAAAAAAAAAGAAATAGAGCTTCAGTTGCCTTCTCTATCCACCTGGCAGCCCCCTTTTCCCATTGGTGAACTCCTCCTGGAATCTCCACTTTGAGGAAGGGCCTATACCAGCGATCCTTCATCCCTGGATTTTCCCTTCCCCCAACAAACCCCTCTGTTTTTCTGCTCCTTTTTTTGCATTGTGTTCCCCTTCCTCAAGTGTAAGGATGATCTTTCTTTTTGTCTGTGTTGACTTAGCACTGAGTCTGTGACACAGTATTTAATAAAGTCTTGTTGACTTTAACAGAGTCTCTCATTTTTTTTCTCTTTTGGCGAAACAATCAGGATTAAGTGACTTGCCCAAGGTCACACAGCTGGTACATGTCAAATGTTTGGTCTGAGGCCGGATTTGAACTCAGGTCCTTCTGACTTCAGGGCTGGTGATCTATCTACTGCGCCACCTAACTGCCCCAAGTCTCTCATTTTTGTTATACCCTAAACAGTTTCTTATTTTACCCACCCCCAGTCCCAATTATTCCATACATGTAGGTGACATCTCCTTCATGTAGCATCACTGGGGAAATCATGAAATTTTTAGATCACTAAAGTTTACCCCATTTAAGTATTTTTGCTCTTAACCTTTTTTTGATAGAAAGCTTTCTGAAATATACTATAATCATATTAAAGACACTATACTGAAAATAATTTTTAATGATTCAGGGCCATCATTGTGAACATCAATTATTTTATTAAGCCAAAATGAAAGAGCTACTTTCTATAATGAAAGGATAGCTTTGGGGGCTATTGAAGGGTATAAGGCTGCCTGTCCCTACAATAATATATAGGGCTTTATAGTACTTTAGAATCTGCAAAGCACTGTACATGTTATCTCATTTGATCCTTACACAACCCTAGGAGGTAGGTGCCATTATTATCCCCATTTTACAGATGAGGAAACTGAGGGAGGAGCAGTGAAGTGATATGCCCAGGATTGCCCAGCTATTAAGTGTCTGAGATGGGATTTGAACTCAGGTCTTCCTGATTTCAAACCCAACACTCTATTCACTTCACTACTGAGCTTTATCTACAATAACAGCCCTAGGTCCACCCCTTTCCCTATAACTTGCTGCTTTAACTCCTTTGGAAAGCACTATTGTAGCATTAGAACCATCTGCTAAACATGATCAGGTGGATTCTGAATGAGGCACTGAGAGCTTCTCTCATAGAGACTGGATGCAAAACCTCTGTAACAACCATTCTGTTTACTAAGAGATCTCCTCTATTTACTTTCACTTGCAATCTATTTCAGGGAGTTAAGGCTGTCATAAATGATCAACAAAAGTAAGGCTAAAGTGCATTTTCTAATTTAAAGATGCATCCTCAGTTAGAAAACGGACATGCCTTTAAAATGTTCCTAACTTGCTTATTTTAGTTGTGAATGTGAATACTTCTCAAAAACAACTTACCAAGGCAGAAAATGACCAGGGTCCAAGGATTCCTCCTTTCCCAAATACGGGTTCAAAGAAGGGCACGACCATTAGTAACATGGCAGATGACATTGGTGCTTGGTAATACAGCAACTGCATGGAGTTCACCTGCAGCTCATGCTGTTTGGCTCCTACCCACTAAAAAGTAACAGATAAAATGAATTTAACACGGAAATAAGACATCTCTCATTACTCAACACTGCAAAATGGGCTACAAAGGCAGAAGCTGGCTACCATTATACCTTGCTATCTTATAAAATGATGAAGAAACAAAATAAACAAAAGCACGTTAAGTCTTTTGCAGGTAGGAACCTAAGACTTATCCAATTGATGATTTTTAGTTGGTAAGGGATATAGAATACTTTTTTTAAAAAATATACTTCCGATTCAAAAGTTGGTTCAGCTCCCTCAACTGCCAAAAGAAACAGAAGGGACAATGTTGGAACCAACAATAATTAGAGACATTGAGAAGATGGCAGGGCCATGACTCCTTTCATTCCTTTCTAAGAATGGCATGACAGGTGGTCTGACAACAAATTCATTTCTTTTAAGTCTCCCAGTACATGCAGGGATGGACTTCTCAATGCCTTGATTAGCTGTTCTAGTGACTGCTTACTGCCCCTGTCCTTTCAGTATGTAACTTCCTAAGACATCAGATGATGATAAATTAGACATTCGAGATTACATGGCCAGTAAGTATCTGAGGCAGGATTTAAACTAAGGCCTTCCTGGCTCCAAGTCTACAGCCCTATCCACTGAGCCACCTTGTTGCCTGATATACAAAGCTTATTCTGCTAGGCAGGCCCGGCCCAAGTTTGTGCATTGCTGGTACTGATTCTAGGGAAGCCAGTCACCTTGACGCCCCAATGAGGCATCAGAGGAGGACCTGAGTGGTGGAAAAAAAATCTGCTATAATTAGTTAAATAAATGATCACCTACAGCCCATCAAGCTCTAATGCTTAATGACTCTATAATAAGATCAGACTAATTCTGGGAGTCCCCCAGTTAATTTTTTTTTTGTATTGAAGCATACCTCCATTATAGGAATTGTTTATCTACAAAAATAAATATGAGAAGTAGAAAGGTAGCTAACAAATCTGCTATATGATCTCAACAGACCTTACCTAATGAACAGTGTAATATAAAGGATTAATTCCCCAGCTGTTCACCAGTTACTATACAAGAGGTATGTCGTAATCAATCTCCTTGCTCCTTCCTCCAGCCTCCATACAAACTAAGTGGCTGGTCAGGTCAGCTGCTTCTCACTGCAGCTCCAGGCTGATAATCAAATCTCCCATTCTACCCTCCTTTCATTATTATCAACAGGACGAGTAGGAACACCTATCTCAGAAATCAGAGTGGGATTCAAGAGGACTGCATAATCTGATTTACAGTAAACTTTGCAGGATCACAACTATTCTGAAAAGAAAACAACTTCACTGGGCGGCGTTAACCTTTTCCTCAGTAAACTGCCCTTTCTCAATCCCATCTTAAATCTCCTAACCAGTGTTTTGGCTCCAGGGTCCCTGATAAGCAGGCTTCCCTACATAGACTACTTTTTATAGAATTTAATGTGACCCATGGCAATTCTGAGTTACATGAGCAGAATGATCATTATGAGACTGAAATGGAAGAGAATTCCTAGAAGCAGGAAATTTATGTATTTTCTGCATTTTCTACTGGAGTACAATGAATACAATAATAAATTCCTAGAAGC